ACCGTTAATGTGAAATATGCTTTTCGCGTACACTCGGATAAACTGCTAACGTGGAGGAAAAGCAACCGGAATATTTGTAGTGAAATATAATTATACTTATGTTGATTACGTTGTTAATAAACTACAAGGAGGTTATGGGTGGCCCAGTCATCTAAGGCGCCGCAATTTGCATTGCAGAGTCGCGTCCCTTAGGCACGCCAGGAACCTATGATCGTGGGTTCAAGTCCCGGTTCGTCCTGATTATGTTTCAGTGACCATACCCGTGGTCGTTGGTTTCACCAAAATGGTAAACGACTGAGACCCGCATTCATGTATCTGACACTCCATGACATAACTGGAATACTGTTCAAAGCGGCCTTAAACCCAACTCACTCATTGTATATGGGGTATATACAAGAAAACGGGAAGTGAGGTGTTTGTTGAAAACGTTAATACGACTAATTGGGATGTTTTGAACCTAAAATCATTATCATCGATATCATTCCACATTGGCGTCAAGTTACAGTGTGTGCGCGTGCGCTTGTGTGTTTGTGTGTGTATGTTTGGTGGGTAGTCTAGTTGCAGCATTCGTAAATCAAACGACCCGGGTTCAATTCCATGGTAGAAGCCAATATGAGTACACTTTCGCGGTTTCCCCGTCGGAAGTATCGCTGGAATATTGCAAAGAACTGTTAAAACACACTCACTCACCAAATTTGTATGCTAGATTCTCTTCTGTGGCTGGCTGACTAACGGTAAAAAGTTGTACTGTAAAATGTTCATTTCGGCAGCGTTGTAACCACGTGTCATATTAATACACATTTTTTTTATGTTTGACTGAACATATAGGTCATGTTAATAAATTCATATTACCTTTGCTCAAAATACAGTTTGAATCAGCACTGCCACATATTTGCCCGTCCGAGTGATTATTTATTATCAGTTTTACTAGCCATTCTTTTCTTTGCTTAAACGACATTTAACCCTGTCATCTAACCTGCCTAATAACTATAATTCACCATTTACTGTCTGTCGACATGACAACTGTCGCGATGTCGAATGTGTTGTTAAGGACATAACAACACTGAACGATATTGACAAAATCGATTACAACCCAAACATGTTTACATACACTAACATTATTAAATATTACCTTTATCTTTTTGATAAATTTATCATAAGGTTACCATAGTGGCAGCAGACACCACGCCACTCTGAGGATAAGTAGGGTTTGTTTCTCAGCTACAAGGTTGTAAGGGATCCTCAGCAACGCAGGATATTATAGATACATTTTAGTAACATACGTTATATTTTAAGACAAACATACAATGAAGGCGTTAAAAGGACATTAAGTATGTTTTGAGTTATAACGATATGAGTAGGAGCGTTCGATGTCAGTGGTCTGGTTATAAGACTGGGATATTTGCATTGTCCTTTAGTATTCTAGTTGACGTTTGAAATAGTTGAGTGTAACTCTCTTGTACGTATGTAAGTATACTTGGCCTACACAATGCGTGATCGACGCAATCACGTATACCTTACAAACACAACGTGTACACATACCTTACCAACACAAAGTATTGGATGTGACAAGCACGAATATCTGGACTATCTTTTTGTAATTTAATGTTTATACACCTGAAGAAATCAATAAATATACCTGGATGCCGTTGCACAAAACTATCTTCGCGCTAAGATGATCGTAACTCACATACCTTAACATAGACTTACGACAGTCGTAGCGCTAAGGTTGCTTTCTACAACGATACGATGCATCTCTAAAGTTCCAAGATCCAATCATATCAGTCCTGTACTCAAAGCACTACATTGGCTTCCAGTCTCCTTTCGTATAAACTATAAGATCACTCTGCCTCAACAATAGCGACTATCCAGACTATCTCAAAGATCTTATATCCCTGTACTCTCCAGAGCGTGCCCTCCGATCCTCTGGTGGAACTCTACTGTATCAGCCTCTGTCTACTTCTGCTATGTCTGACCGTGCCTTCTCAATTTGCAGTCCACAGTTATGGAACTCTTTGCCTTTGAATCTGAGAAACTCTGCTTCTAAGGAAACGTTTAAGTCTCTCCTCAAAACCCACTTCTTCACTTCAGCTTTTCAATAGATCTCCTGATTGTTGGCATAAGTACATAGACATTACATTTTAACTCTGTCACAGCGCCAGTGAGCAACTGTCGATGGATATTAGGCGCTTTACAAATCAATTATTATTATTATTATTATTATTATTATTATTATTATTATTATTATTATTATTATACCCTGGTTCGTTTGTCACAAAGAGATATATCCAATTCTGCCAAATGTTACCCTTGACATCAACGTATGATCATATATGTATGCATTCACAATACGGTAAAGTGCACCCAACTATATTTAGTATTTTTAACAAAACGTCATGTCCAATTCTGCCAATTGTTACCCTTAACATCAACGTATGATCATATATGTATGCATTCACAGTACGGTAGAGTGCACCCAACTATTTTTTGTATTTTTAACAAAACGACATACACTCCAGGATTCAATGTGTGGACCTGTACATTCCATAGTCACATGACCCACATATATTACAACAGCGCCACCTTGTGAGGGGGTATCATTCCGCGAGGCAGTTTGAAGTTATGCGTTTTCAATAGGGTGTGTAACAAAGGAGGGGGTTGTCCTACAAGGATGTGTTCTGCTTGAGATGCTGTATACGTCGGCACGACCCCTGTATATCCGTGTGACATCTCGCGCTATCGTAATACAATGCTGCCTTCCCTAAGAAATCAAGCTCGTTACATTTGAATGGTGTAATCACGGATATGTCAAGACCACACAGGAGCCATACTTGGTTTGAGTTTAGGCAGTTCAGTAGACTAACATCTAGTCTCTGAAATGAACATATCGTACAGAAAAAAACAGTTGTTCAGTTATCTTAAAAAAATAATAAAAAGGAGCCCACTGACTCTCTTTATTTTCAGATACTGCAGTGATCTAGACTTGCCAAACATTATAGACTTGCATGGGCTGTATTTGATATATAGAGGTTATCACGCGAGTGTGTTTGGGGATGGTAAATATCCTGCATTAGGAATAAACATTGTATTTAGCGAGCCTTGGCGAGCCTTTCCCTCTCTCACAATCATTACCGAAACATTGCGAGTTTTCCTGGAATGCGCGCATTAATATATATTACGTCATAGGGTAAGTGATGTGTCAGTCGGACAGTGACAGTAGCCAATATAGTTCCAACTGAAATCTGTTTCTTATACAGTGGCGAAGGAACATATACGCAAAACAACAATTGTTTGTAATTGCCTTTCGCGGCAAGCCATCGGTCTGTCCGCTAGAGTAACTGCCCTTTGTCAAAGGGAAGCTACTCTAACCCTAGTCTATGAGACGTCACGGCCACGGTCAGACGTTGTTGACAGTCGGTCTGTCTTGTCATAACGTTAAGAAGTGTAGTCAGATGTACACAAAGCGACAAAACGAAACAAGGTAACAATTCGAACGTATTTCGGCCAAATCAAACTATTTTAATTTGTGGAGAAGGTTTCAAGCCGCAGAGGGTTACAAGCACAGATATGGCTACTGATCCCGCTTGGCTAGGCCTCGTGCCCTCGCAAAATTGTTCGAAATGTATATCTCCAAAGTTGCTAAAACTTATAAAATGCCTTAGCTACGTCACAGTTAGACACTGATTTTCAGTATATTAGACTGTTCTTTTGATAATGATAGCATTTATCCCTGTAGTTTATCCAGATTCGGGATGGTTAATTCTGACTCGATCGCCGAATGACGAGGGCGACGCCATGTTTGTTTATAAACAGCGAAAGTAGTCCCTACTTGACCTTTGATATTTGCATCTCTATCCGCATATGACCCCAACGGATATAGTTTTATCCGTTGGCTTTATCCTGCCGAGAAACCTACCCATTGTATGATAAATATTTGTATCAGGGTCCGTAAGACAGACTAGCAGTTCAGAAATATTGAACATTCTTTATGGCAGTGTTTGGTTGATTTGGTGACACGCGGATATTTTGACCATATCGAGGTTATAACACCAGGGCCCCGTTCCTCAAAGCGATCTTAGCGTTAAGGTGATCGTAAGTCCCATACGTTAACATAGGCTTACGATCATCTTAGCGCTTAGATCGCTTTGAGGAACGGGGCCCAGGCCAACAACCAGCTCTAAGGCAACTAGCGCGACCCCTGAAGATCCAGGTTAGAATAGGTCTTCAGCAACCCATGCTTGCCGTAAGATGCGACTATGCTTGTCGTAAGAGGCGACTAACTGGATCGGGTGGTCAGGTTCGCTGATTTGGTTGATGCATGTCACTGTATCCCAATTGCGTAGATCAATGCTCATGATGTCAATCACTGGATTGTTTGGTTCAGATTATTTACAGAGCGCCGTCATATAGCTTGAATATTGCTGAGTGCGTCGTTTAAAAACTAACAATGCAACAAATGCAGTTTCGAACTATTTTTCAAATACAGATTCGCAATCGATATTCGATTTGAACACAATGAAACCAAAGGTGATTTATTAATCTTTTATTTATTTAATTAATAATCTGAAGCAAGTCCGGGCGCGGGACGGACACTACTTTGTGTAATGGTTCGCACGGACAGTTTATTAACTGTGTATGCATGTCTGACTGACTCAGTGGGATCACAGGGACAATCCTCTTTTTGACATCAAAACAAGATAAATCACCACCTGTCGTGAAATAACGGTTAATGTATGAATCTTTCAACTTGAGCATGATAATGCTAAAGCTGTTAGTTGTTTTTAGAAATCAAAAACAGATGTTGATACATAAGTGTATGACGCTCGCAGTTTGTTGAAGACGACTCCAGCTCAGCTCAAAGTCGTTTCCATTACCATGCTTGACGTCCTGTGACGAGCGCCATAATGAATATGCTAATGTTTGAACATTCATTGTTGTCATAATGACAGGACATAACCCAAGTATGCATAAAGGTTTTAGTCATCGATGTTAGAACTCACCTGTGTGACGTCACAGCGCCGTGGGGGAAAACCCTCCCTTGTCACTCGGGGCAGCTGAAAAATACAATAAAAAACACAAATGTAGGTATCGTAGATGCAATAGAAAAAAACAAAAACGTCTATGTTACTGGTACAATCGAAAATATTATAATAGTGCGCAGTTACAGGTCTGGTTAAACATTGCTCTATCGAAGTGCCGACGTAGAGGAACGATATCAACATCATTGATTTTACTGAAGTGTCGAGATAGAGACGAGATATCATCAACATTGCCTTATCGAAGTGTCAACGTAGAGGAGGGATATCAACATCATTGATTTAACTGAAGTGTCGAGAAAGAGAACAGATATAATCAACCGGTTTAACTGAAGTGTCGAGATAGAGAAGACATATCTTCAACATTGCTTCATCGAAGTGTCAACGTAGAGGAGGGATATCAACATCATTGATTTAACTGAAGTGTCGAGATAGAGAACAGATATAATCAACCGGTTTAACTGAAGCGTCGAGATAGAGACGAGATATCATCAACATTGCTTTATCGAAGTGTCAACGTAGAGGAGGGACATCAACATCATTGATTTTATTGAAGTGTTGAGATAGAGAACAGATATAATCAACCGGTTTAACTGAAGTGTCGAGATAGAGAAGAGATATCATCAACATTGCTTTATCGAAGTGTCAACGTAGAGGAGGGATATCAACATCATTGATTTTATTGAAGTGTCGAGATAGAGAGGAGATATAATCAACATTGCTTTATCGAAGTGTCAACGTATAGGAGGGATATCAACATCATTGATTTAACTGAAGTGTCGAGATAGAGAACAGATATAATCAACCGGTTTAACTGAAGTATCGAGATAGAGACGAGATATCATCAACATTGCTTTATCGAAGTGTCGAGATAGAGAGGAGATATAATCAACCGGTTTAACTGAAGTGTCGAGATAGAGAACAGATATAATCAACCGGTTTAACTGAAGTGTCGAGATAGAGAACAGATATAATCAACCGGTTTAACTGAAGTGTCGAGATAGAGACGAGATATCATCAACATTGCTTTATCGAAGTGTCGAGATAGAGAGGAGATATAATCAACTGGTTTAACTGAAGTGTCGAGATAGAGAACAGATATAATCAACCGGTTTAACTGAAGTTTCGAGATAGAGAGGAGATATAATCAACCGGTTTAACTGAAGTGTCGAGATAGAGAAGAGATATAATCAACCGGTTTAACTGAAGTGTCAAGATAGAGAGGAGATATAATCAACCGGTTTAACTGAAGTGTCGAGATTGAGAAGAGATATAATCAACCGGTTTAACTGAAGTGTCGAGATAGAGAGGAGATATAATCAACCGGTTTAACTGAAGTGTTGAGATAGAGAGAAGATATAATCAACCGGTTTAACTGAAGCATAGAGATAGAGACGAGATATCATCAACATTGCTTTATCGAAGTGTCAACGTAGAGGAGGGATATCAACATCATTGATTTTATTGAAGTGTCGAGATAGAGAACAGATATAATCAACCGGTTTAACTGAAGTGTCGAGATAGAGAAGAGTTATCATCAACATTGCTTTATCGAAGTGTCAACGTAGAGGAGGGATATCAACATCATTGATTTTATTGAAGTGTCGAGATAGAGAACAGATATAATCAATCGGTTTAACTGAAGTGTCGAGATAGAGAAGACATTGCTTCATCGAAGTGTCAACGTAGAGGAGGGATATCAACATCATTGATTTTATTGAAGTGTCGAGAAAGAGAACAGATATAAACCATATTGAAATTTTGAAGTGTCAACGTGGAGGAGGGATGTCAACAACTTGAATATAGCTGAAGTGTCAAGCTAGAGAAGAGATATTATTAACATTGGTTTTGACGAAGTGTCAAGATTGAGGAAGGATATTGACAAGATTAATTTAACAGGTGTGTCGATAAAACAAAGGGAAACCATTACAATGGAGGGATATCATCAATGTCGGGTTGTATGGATAACAAACATACATATTCAAAACTAACAGTGTTAATTGCATTTTCCTGTTTCTCGATTTCAGGATAATCTTACCAGCAATGATAACACATTCATACGTCACGTACGAGTTGGATATACAGATACCACGTTTATCATTTGTTGGCTAAACGATCAACATTGTCGGTGATTCGTAAGATGCTACACCCGTTGACGTTAGTGTTGAAAGTATTAAACAAATACTGTTCCATGGACGATCCATCCGCATATATTGACTGAGCATTGTTAAATGGAATATTAAAAAAAAACTCCTGAGAAAATGACATACCCTCGTTACCCAGACAGATGTTGACAGGCTCCAACTGAGTTGACAGACATTGACGAGATACAGATCAGAACATCTACCCGACCTCATTCATAGAAATACAACACACACGCCATGGCGTTTGAATGTTTGTGTTTTGGTCTGATATGAAGTGTTTTGAGTTAAGCTCTATGTCAAATATACCTCGGAAGCGTAGTTTGATGAAAGCTAATTGGGGAAAAAAGATGGCGACATTGATGAATATGTAAATAAACTGAGGTGTCCGTGGTTTTATCGTAAAAAATATTACAACATAACAGATGTTATTGATCCGCTTCAATACTTTATTATCAAAACATCTAGACATGTCAACCTAACAGTTATTTGTCAGAGAGCTGCAGTTACGAATGAGGTCAGTATAGCGAAGCTCAGTCACGTCATAATATGCCTTACCTTAATAAGTAAATGAACCTAATCCCTGGAACGTTCCACGACTCTTTAGAAGTGTTTCGTGAGTCATATGCGGGTATTTCGTAATGTCAGGCTATAGATGTTTGTTGTATGAAGGCTGTCTACTGTGCATACTGGGTTTTATACGCTACTGACTGCAATTGAATGTGCAACCCATTCTATGCATTGAGTTGTGTCATACACACTTATACACAACAGAATAGTCAAGGTCGTCAGTGGCGTTTCTGCAAACCATACACAAAGTGTCAGCAGAGAATGCACAGAACGACACACACGAACGTCCAGAAGACACAACTCCGTGCGTCAATCAACATATACCTTCGTATAAAAAGTAATATATACGAGAGTCTACTTTCTAACGGTGCCGTGTATTGTATTGCGGTCGGCCAACGCTGCTATGATCATTATATTACATACCCTTATATCGTGAGAGGGGCTTGTAAATGTGGAGTAGATGCTCATGTTACGACGTTTATTGTCCAGGGCTTTGTATTAGGCAACAATGCAGTCTTAAGTCACAAAACAGCGCTGTGTTTGATCTACTTTTGATACGTATAGACTACGAGATATATGTGGGGACAATCGTATAACAATATGATTGTCACCCCGACAAATACATGGATGTAATACATCAACAGTTGTTTGTCTTTCTCTGTGATGTCGTGTATGCGTGTTTGTTATGGTAATATAGATCTCCGCAAGAGCCCTGAAAGTTATGGGCAATGGCTCTGTGTCAGACAGATGAAGCGATATCTAAGATAGATGATAATGCAGCACCATGCTTTACAGACCATGGTGATGTCATCGGTTACCACGAGGTCACAATCAAATGACATCATTAATACCTTTGCAGGTGAAGCTGGGAATATACAAATGATAAGGGACGCTTTGGACCGAAATACTTACCTTCTGTTCTATTTTATAGCGACAATCTGTCACAACAAGGGGCAGCGGAAATACTTGGTATGTCACGTTGAAGAACACTGCTCCCTACACTCACACCTCGTTGCACAACGTCACTCCAGCCTTTCTTCTACGTCGACGTCTAACTAGCTTTGCCCCCTTTCCGATATGGACGCCAAACTAGTCCGCATTACGTGCTTTCCGATATCGACGTCAAACTGGCCCGCATTGCCTACTTTCAGATATCGACGTCAAACTGGCCCACATTGCCCCCTTTCAGATATCGACGTCAAACTGGCCAACATTGCCTACTTTCAGATATCGACGTCAAACTGGCCCACATTGCCTACTTTCAGATATCGACGTCAAACTGGCCCACATTGCCCCCTTTCAGATATCGACGTCAAACTGGCCCACATTGCCCCCTTTCAGATATCGACGTCAAACTGGCCCGCATTGCCTTCTTTCAGATATCGACGTCAAACTGGCCCACATTATCCCCTTTCAGATATCGACGTCAAACTGGCCCACATTGCCCCCTTTCAGATATCGACGTCAAACTGGCCCGCATTGCCTACTTTCAGATATCGACGTCAAACTGGCCCGCATTGCCCCCTTTCAGATATCGACGTCAAACTGGCCCGCATTTCCGAAAATAATTTTTATAAACTGCAACAAATATTTCCACTCCTAACATCACATAAATCTATGAATTCTTCCTTGCAAACTGGTGTCTCGACCATCTACACCGTGACGTCCTACACCATTGTCACCCCGGTGTCTACACCATCTACACACTGACGCCCTACACCGTCTTCACCCCGTTGTCTCCACCATCTACACCCTGCCGTCCTACACCGTCTTCACCCCGGTGTCTACACCATCTACACACTGACGCCCTACACCGTCTTCACCCCGTTGTCTACACCATCTACACCCTGACGTCCTACACCGTCTTCATCCCGGTGTCTACACCATCTACATCCTGACGTCCTACACCGTCTTCACCCCGTTGTCTACACCATCTACACCCTGACGTCCTACACCGTCTTCATCCCGGTGTCTACACCATCTACACACTGACGCCCTACACCGTCTTCACCCCGGTGTCTCCACCATCTACACCCTGCCGTCCTACACCATTGTCACCCCGGTGTCTCGACCATCTACACCGTGACGTCCTACACCATTGTCACCCCGGTGTCTACACCATCTACACACTGACGCCATACACCGTCTTCACCCCGTTGTCTACACCATCTACACCCTGCCGTCCTACACCGTCTTCACCCCGGTGTCTACACAATCTACACCCTGCCGTCCTACACCGTCTTCACCCCGGTGTCTACACCATCTACACACTGACGCCCTACACCGTCTTCACCCCGGTGTCTCCAC